CCTTCAAGAGGAAACTAGGTTAAATAAAATATCCCATTTAAATATGTCCTAACATGGAAAAGTCTTGTAAATACAACATTTTAAGTTAAGAAAAAGTACTGAACAAGATTAGAAAGATAGATAGATAGATAGATAGATAGACAGATATAGACATATACAGATATATAATATTGTGTATGTTGTTAATGCACACACTGCATCTGGAAGAATACCAAGAAATGTGGCCACGTGGCAGAGAGGGGAGGGACAGAAAATTGCTTTTGACTATGTTAATGTCTTCTAGTCAAAGAAACATATCCACACATCTGTGGTTGAACAAAGTTGGGTTCACTGACTCTCAGCGAGGAGGAAAAATATACACCATGGCAGAACTGGGGTGTCTTAGTAAGGTGTAAGAAAGGACTTCCAGGATTTAGTCTCATGTTAAGTGATTTTTAAGGGGGCTCAAAGAAAGCAGATTTATTCCAAGTTGAATGCTCTTTGGATGCAGGTGTAATTCTATAATTGGCTATCTTAATAATTCTTATCTAGAAGGCAAGAAGAACAGAGCAACATCCTGTTCCTGGTGATGAAGCAGCACCCACCCATATAAACCAGAATACAGCAATATTTGATCATTTTGTAGTTTGGACAACTTTCTTGTTTTTGTCTGCATTCAGATATGATTACAGAGTGTCCTGCTTTTGTCCTGATCCATCATGGTCACAGTGGCCTTGCCTGATTTGGTGTCCTGTGAAACTGCTCACATTTGGCCTGCTGGTAGTGCCGAGCCAGCTCTTGGCTGTCAAGAACTGTTTTGTTCTTCTTCAACTGTATATCCTTTTTTGTGCCTTTACAATTCTGTACCATATACTTATCTATTCAAAATAATTTTTAAATGAATCTCAAGACTGAAGGAGACCTTAAAAGTCACTGAGTTCTGAAACTATCTCAACCACCACCACGTTCCTCCCCTCCCACACTGAAGGGGTTTTTTCATAAACGCTCTACAAGTACCAGTGCAGCACCTGCTTGAATATCTTCAGTTTCACCAGTGTATTCATTTGTCAGGCAGCTCATGCCACAGTGAAATGGCTGTTAATATTTTTGTTCAGAGAAAAAGGCAACAATGCATTTGCATATCTTAATTGTTTTCACCCCAGCATGTTTGACCTCTTCAAATGTATCTTCTCCTATGGAAACTGGTGGAGCAGAATAATTACCTTTCTAATTTTATGTAAAGTGTTCCTATTAATACTCTCCAAACTGCTGTTGTCTTTTTTGTGTCAGTGTTCCAACACTGTTTTGCATCTTTGGTATCATCACACTTGCAGAGATTTGTATCTGTTGCTGCTGACAAACCCATTTGGTTTTGTACTCAATTACATGTAATTAGTCTTTTCTTCATGAACAAAAGAACAGGTGTCCTATCAATTCAATCCAAGATACTATGGTAAGGTTGGTTGGACCTAATGATGTCTACTGAACCAAACAGCACACTTCTGACAGATGCTCATAGTAACAAGATTTTTTTTTCCAAACAATCAAATGCTTTTACTTCTGCCCACACAAAGTAGAGAAAGAAAAGGCATTTTAACAACTTAGAGGTTTATAATTTTCTATTAAAAAACATGAGTAGAATTTAAATCCTTCTCTGATATTTTTATCTCAATCCACACTCAGAAAATGTAAAAATAAAAATTATTTGTTTTCATGGGATATTTTTAATTAAAATATGTGTGGGGGGGGATCAGAAGAAAGTACATTAGTCAAAAAACTGGCAAAACCTGAATAAAGTCTGTAGCTCAATTAATAGTATTGTACCAAGGTTAATTTCCTGGCTTTGATAATTGTACTGTTGTTACATAAAAGTGGTACCCATTAGGGGAAGCTGGGTGAAGAGTACACAGGAATTTCCTGTATTATTTTGTAATTTTTCTGAAGTCTAACATTATTTCAACAGGAAATGTTAAAAATATTTAGGTGGATAGAATATTTAGCCAATGATCTAGAGAAACTTTTACACATGCACAAGGACACATTCATTCATTCGTTTTGATTTTTGTTGAGTGCTTACTATGTACTAATGATCATTCTAGGTTCTAAAGACACAAATGTATAATGGATGGCTAGTGGGAAGCTGCTGCATAGCAGAGGGAGATCAACTCGAGGCTCTGTGATGACCTAGAGGGGTGGGATAGGGAGGGTGGGAGGGAGACACAAGAGGGAGGAGATATGGGGATATATGTATACATATAGCTGATTCACTTTGTTGTACAGCAGAAACTAACACAACATTGTAAAGCATTTATACTCCAACAAAGATGTGAAAAAAAAATAATAAAGATACATCAAAGATCAAAACAAAATCTCTTCACTCATGAAACATTCTCCTGCTAGGAAGATCAAAAATAAACAAACTGCAACAATATGCATATCAGGTCATCATAGGAGCTATGACTAGAAAAAAAATACTAGGTTATCAGAATAGGTCAAGGTGAAATGTTTAGTTTTATTAAGGATGGCCAGCGAAGGCCTCTTCAACATGTACAAGAAATATTTTAGCAGCACTATTTGTAATTGCCTTAAAATAGAAATGATAATTATCCACCCAAAAGAGAATGGATAAATATATTTGGGTATGTTCATGCAATGGGATACTTTACAAAAATGAAAATGAATAATATAAAGCAAATATATCACCATATATGCATCTCACAACCAAAATACTGGGGAAGAAAAATACATAAAAGTTATATATAGTAATGTTCCTCTTATAAAAAGTTTAAAAACATGCAAAATGATGTTATGACTGATGTAAGTATATGCATATGTATGTATATATGAAAAAATGTATTTATAAAACTGCACAGAAATAAAAAATTCCAAATTCAAGATAGTTGTTATGTCTGGTACTGAAGGGAAAAGCAGGACTCCACCAGAAACAGCACACAAGGGTTTCAAATGTATTGATGTTTTTAACTAAATTTTAAGCCAGGGGGTTGGGTATCCAGATGAATTTATCTAAGTCTTATTATTTTGTATATTTAAACTCCTTTTAATACCAACATATCAATAAATGTATGCAGTAGTTTGTCTTAATAAAGAATAAGATATTTTAAAGTTGTGAATTCAGACAGTTTCTAAAAGTTTCTGACAAGATGTAGCACCCTCAGTATGTGTGTTATGCGTAACGCCTCTGTATATACGTATATATATTATGCATATGTGTGTATAAGTGTGTGTATTTATATGTGGTTGTAGATCTATATTAGCCATTGACCCGGCATCTGCAGAGAAAGCACTTTCAATTATTTTTCTAAAAACATTGAAGGAAGGTATTTTGTTGGTTGACCCCACGCTTTCACCCTCACCTCTCTGCCACTGCCCCGTGATAAACGTCACGGATCCATAGGACAGCTGTCTAGGTAACAGCTGTATCCTGTGGCTACGGCTATTTGGCTCACTTGAGGACTGAATCTATGTTCATCTATTTATAATTTTTCAATCTTTTTTTTAAGTTGGGTGGATGGTTCCGTCTGACAAAGGATATTAATATTATCATCTCCAGCCACATCATTTTATAGAAAAAGAAACCAGAGCAAGGGATACCCCAGAGATAGTACGGGTGACACAGCTAAGCCACATCCTTGATTCTTTCCACCTATACTTGTAGCTTCACTAAATCTGAATTCAAGTTCACATGCAATAATGAAAATTCTACATGGAGAGGAAAGCATCCTCATTCTTCTGTACTCAGTTAAACCTTAAATCATTTAAAGAATGCATTCCCACAAACATAAACCAACAATGCAAACCACAATAAGCTAATCACCTACTTGGTAGAAAATGGGATGAAATTCTGTATAATAAGATCTTTATTGTAATTCATATTTTGTAATGTGTAACATTAAGTGAACAAAGAATAATTTAGAAGGGGTGGACAAGAGCATTTTCACACTCTAGGGATTGTAGATCTTTCCTGAGATCTTTATTTTTAATTTAAAAGATAGTTCACCATAAAATATCAGACTTCTTAGATTATCTTATGCAATTGGGTAGAATGTCAGTCTAACCACAAAATCACCTCCATCAGAAGACAACTCAATTGGATACAGATTTAATGAGCATTTACTATGTGACTAGCACTAAAGATCTTGCAGGGAAGATCTAGCAGGGAATACAGACAAACTTTGGGAAACAATATGATGCCCTGTATAATTTTAGAATAACACCAATTTCCCCCCAGGTATCTGTACACAATTATTCAGAAACTGAAAGATATGATGAAAGTGATCATTCTTGGCTCTGAGGCTTGCAATCAAAATTCTTCTGAAATGCAAATATACTCTCTCAGACCTTGATGATTTGTTTAGTTATCAAACTTGTCACCTATATAGTTAAATTAGTTAAACATTATTTCCAGGGATATTATCAATAATCTTTTAATGTTTGCATTTTATCTCAAAAAACTATAAACAAAATTGCAGTTCTACCAGTGTTTATCATCTTGTTATCATAATATTTTAATACATTTTCCTTTTTAAATCAATAATTTTGCCCTCAATCAAAATAAAATAACATGTAATATACATATATATATATATTCAATGTTTACCTTGAGAAGTAACTTTGGTCTTCCAGAAATGATGTTCTAAGAATTACTATAACATGTTTACTGTTTGGTTCCAGGATTAAAATACCACTTTGTGCTGGAAGGTCTGCCTTGTTTCTATGAATACTTAACATCATCCTGACTACAAACAGTGGGATGAGAGGAAATTCTTGTCCAGTGACCAGTCATAACTCCTTCAAGCCTCCTACCTTCTTATTGAATACATAATCTCCGTCCCTTACAGTCTCCTGGATATAGGGAATCATAGCAAGAAGGATAAAGGAAAAGACACCAGCTCACTAGTAGTTCAATAGTTCCAAAGGTAGCCTGGCCATGCTTTAAGTCTAAGATACACTGGGCCATACATTTGACTGCAATTAGATTGCAAGAAGCTAATGTGCCTTACTGTAGTCACTGTTTTCGTCCTTGGTCCCGTCAATGGTACCATCTGGGTGCATCTGCAGGAAATATCCCTGCTGGCTGAATAACCTTGTCACAATTCCTTTCAGCTGGGGTTCTGCAGAACAAAATGAAATGATTATTGAAATTTTTTTTAATGCACACTTGCAAATTGTCAAAAACATTCCTGAAGTAAATGCATAAATATCAGTGGTTTAAACATTGAAATAACTATTTGAAAAGAAGGCATTTTGGTAACATATCTGTACTTTTTTTTCTTTCTAGAGGCAGATCAATAAATCTCTGCAACAGTAAACCAAATGTAAATGAATAAAAGTTAATTATGACTAGAAAATACAGAGGTGTGCTAAAAAATGAATTATGTCTCTCCCTCCTGCATCTAGTGTCTGCCTGCAAGATGCCACTAAGTTTGTGGTCCCATTCCAGAATCACTGTTCAGACCAAACTGCCACTGTAATTGCTAAGCTTTCAGCAGTCATAATCGATTCCTGGAAGACTTCTATTTCTGCTGAATGACAACTCTCTATCTATCTTTCCTGGGTTTTGAAATTCTGATCAAATTCAGGCTTGGTTGAGAACCACAGGAAAAAGCCAAACCCCCATGGTCATGAGATGTCACTGGAAAGTATGTGGAAACAGATTTCACCTTCAGTAAATACTTCATCCGAGTGAGCCCCAATACAACAAAAGTCATTTTTCCAGCACACGCAAAAAAATCAAGCCATGCATATTTCTGTATTTCAAACCAGAAGTGGTCTTCAGCTTTTAAAAACACCCCACACACTAATACCATCAAACTGATCTTTGTATACCACATTTGAATTTTTGTATAGCAGCTAACATAAATATTTAAAGCTTTCTCACTGTGGTACTAGCTGCCAGCAACAATCTATTTTCTACAGCATTACCACCATTCTTTTTTTTTTTTTTAACATCTTTATTGGAGTATAATTGCTCTACAATGGTGTGTTAGTTTCTGCTTTATAACAAAGTGAATCAGCCATACATATACATACATCCCCATATCTCCTCCCTCTTGCGTCTCCCTCCCACCCTCCCTATCCCACCCCTCTAGGTGGTCACAAAGCACTGAGCTGATCTCCCTGTGCTATGCGGCTGCTTCCCACTAACTATCTACTTTCCATCTGGTAGTGTATATATGTCCATGCTACTCTCTCACTTCGTCCCAGCTTACCCTTCCCCCTCCCCACGTCCTCAAGTCCATTCTCTACGTCTGCGTCTTTATTTCTGTCCTGCCCCTAGGTTCTTCAGAACCTTTTTTTTTTTTTTTAAGATTCCATATATATGTGTCAGCATACAGTATTCGTATTTCTCTTTGACTGACTTCACTCTGTATGACAGACTCTAGGTCCATCCACCTCACTCCAAATAACTCAATTTTGTTTCTTTTTATGGCTGAGTAATATCCCATTGTATATATGTGCCACATCTTCTTTATCCATTCATCTGTTGATGGACACTTAGGTTGCTTCCATGTCCTGGCTATTGTAAATAGTGCTGCAATGAACATTGTGGTACATGACTCTTTTTGAATTATAGTTTTCCAGGGTATATGCCCAGTAGTGGGATAGCTGGGTCGTATGGTAGTTCTATTTGTAGTTTTTTAAGGAACCTCCATACTGTTCTCCATAGTGGCTGTATCGATTTACATTCCCACCAACAGTGCAAGAGGGTTCCCTTTTCTCCACACCCTCTCCAGCATTTATTGTTTGTAGATTTTTTGATGATGGCCATTCTGACCAGCACATCACCACCATCTTTGTCTCTACTTCAGTTCTGGGCAAAAATTAGACTACTCTAACACATTTATAGCCCTATTTCATAAAAATTAGTAGAAAAAGAAAAATGCTGCTTCTGGTGATAAAAATTGAGGCAAGGATAGAAACCATATGACTGGTGAAGTAGTTATGTGCTATCCTCAAAAGGACAATCAATGAATTTCAACTGACAGTGTCATTCCTTCACCAATTTATTAAACCAATATTTACTCAGAACCTCTTTTATTGGGCAGGCAATATGCTAAGTACTGTGTGTTAAACTAAACACATTTATTGATGTTTGAGTCTAGATAAGAGTCCTAGATAAGGATTCAATGCAATAAACTCTTTGGGAATGGACCTGCTCCCTATGACATATGTCTTTTGCACATATGACTAGATCACACATACTTGGGAGTTTGAGGCAATGCCTATATAAACATGTCTTCTTCAAAGCAGTCCTAAGAAGAAGAAAAGTTGCCAAGAAAACTGGTAATGAGGAAGTAGGGTATTAAAAAAAGAACTAAACTGGAAATTAGGCATTCTGATTGAATAACTATGTATTATTACTGTGGTTAAATAAATTCAGTGTATTTATAATTTGAGCACCTTTGACTTAAAGTCTCTTTGATTTGAGAATCTTTTCCTCTAAGTAGTGCCAGAAATCAAGGCATGGATTCATTCTCAGTGTGTTGTCTCCATGCCCCTGGCCCCCAAGGGACATGTCAGAAAAGCATGTAGCTAGTTAACCACACTGCAAAAAATATCTTGTACCCCTACCATCTATTAAGCCCTACCAACCTTCCCAGGCTTAGTTCCAGATCACCTTCTCAGGAAGACTCGGCTATCATAAGTGTGGGTCACTTTTATAATCAGGAGAAATAAAAGAATGTGTGAGCCTCTGCCACAAGGCTAAGTGGTTGACAGGCAGATGCTAATGTGGTACGTTCAGCTCTAGATGTGCAATCAGGAGACCCAGCTTTGAACCACAGTTGCTGTGGGGTCCTGAGCAAGTTACTTAGTATCTGAGGCTGTTTTCCGATCTGTGTAATGGGAAAAAATAATTTCTACGCTAACTATAATAATTTAGAATTTCAGATGAATAAACAAATGTGATAATATGAAATTAAAAAACCATAAAAATATAAATCCTAATTAAGGTCTAATTTTTCAACTCTGAAAATTGAGGAAACAGTGTAAGTAAACCGAAGGAAGTATTTTACAAATAGACTTTGCTGATTCATGTTTTAGTAAAATATTGAGCTTGTAAAGTCACTAAAGTAACCAAAAGATTAAGAGTAGGGGATAGAAAAGGATAGAAGGAAGGAAAGGAACAACTGTCATATAATTCATACTTTATCTCTAATAAACTTGATAAGGTCACTTTAAGAAGTCATGTTTTGATAGGTAATGAGATGCATGGCAGCTGAATCATTAAAGCCTGAAAATGATTGTTTGGTTTTTTTTTTCATGCTCCACTTTCTGTAGCTGTAATTAAACACTCCTTTTGCTACGGTGAAGCTATCCCCCTGTTGGGACCTTGGGAATTCAGGTTGGTAATTCCTGTTCAAGATAATGAGCATAAGGCTGTACACCAAGCCCCACCACCCAAGAGCAGTGCAGAAAAAGCTCAGAGTCTGAGTTTTAATTATGTGATGATCTATGAAAGTGAATGTTTTACACTATAGCTGTTTCAAAGGAGCCCTGACCATCTATTAAACAAATGCCCTGAACCTAGGATGTGTCATGGAAAGCAGTATAGCCTGCCTGACAGGCCTATACCTTTATTATTATCAAATCCTATCAACTTTTCCAGGCTCAGCTCAAGATCACCTCCACCAGGAAGGCTTGTCTATCATAAGGGAGGATCACTTTTATAATTGGGGGGAAAAAAAGAAAATGTTTTGTTGTATTTTAAAGAAAGGGGTTTAAAAAAAATGAGACCACTTTTTGGGATATCTAGCATCCTGAGTGCATTCAACAAAACATGCTTTTTATTTTTCAGACCATGCTTAGGCATCTAACAGATTAATAAAACCTGTGCTGTCCTCAGGGAGCACCCAGTCTAATGCATGAAACATATGTATACATAGTGTGAGATAGCTGTTAAATGATGAATGGAAGCAAAGTGACGTGATGTCACAAGGAGCAAGGGACTAATTCTGTCTAGAAGTTAGATGAAGGCACCTCACCTGTCACTTGAGGAGAGAATGGCATTTTCATAGGCAAAGAAACCAGAGGAAGGCCATTCCAGAAAAACAGTGGATGAAGGAGAAAACAGCATGGCAGACTTTGGGAATGATGCAGAATCTGGTATAGGCATAATATACAGCAGAGTTTTGCAAATGCTGACACGCAGGTTAAGTGCCTATTCTCAACAAATGTTCACAGGTAAACAGTGAAGTAAGAAAAATATGGCCAACAGAGTAAGTTTTTTATTAAGCTAATTTTATTTTCAATTTATATGACTCTCCTTGATTCGAAGATTATGTTTTTCCATTATTTTTTCATTTTCTTATGAAGCAATGGCTATATTATTTGATGATGGTAAGACATTGGTTTAGTTTGTTCCCTTTTGTACTCTAAAGTAGTATAGCAAATACTGCTAGATTTTCTCTAGAATCCATTTCCTCTTTTTCCTGGGCACCCAGCTAGACCATATGTCCTAGCCTCCCTTGCAGTTAGGTTTGGCAGATGAATGAGTGTCATATGGAATGTTAAGTGGAAGTGATGTGTGCCATTTTCAGGCCAAGGCTTTTAAAAGCAAACATTATCCTCCACATTTTCTCTTCCTTAACGCTGGCTGGATTTAGATGATAAAGCCCTAGGAGATGTCAACAAAATAGGAGAATTCTGGTGGAAGAAAAGACAACAGCCATCAGAAATACCCACCTTGGACAGTTAGGTGAATAAGAACTAGCAGTGGTTGTACATAGTGACACCCTTCCTAAGAGAATATGAAAAGGGGGTACAGGGGTGGAGAGTAACTTCACAGTGCAGAAATCTGATTAAAAAAATGCTACCTGAGCCGGGGGTCAAGGTTAAGGTCCACAGTCATAAATCACGCTGATAGCCTTGATACCTTGATACCTTTGATATGCTGTAATGAGAATGGCACTTTACCTCTGTGATCTTCCTCCCCAAAACCCATAACCCCAGTCTAATCATGAGAAAAACATCAAACAAATCTCAACTATAGAACATTCTACAAAACAACTGACTAGTACCCCTCGAAACTGTCAAAAATTCAAAAAAAATTCTGAGAAAATGTCATAGCCAAGAGGAGCCTAAGGAGATAAGACAACTAAATGTAATGTAC